GAAAGAAAGAAAGAAAGAAAGAAAGAAAGAAAGAAAGAAAGAAAGAAGATTAAAAGGTGGAAAGGTTGGTGGGCTGGAGAGATGCCTCAGTGGTTAAGAGCACTGTGTGTTCTTCCAAAGGACTTGGGTTCAGTTCCCAGCACCACATGGCAGCTCACAACTGTCTGTAACCCCAATTCCAGGGAATCTGACACCTTCACACTAATGCACATAAAATAAAATTAAATACATTTTTTAAAAAAAGGTAAAAAGGTTCCCCAAGTTCTTATTTGGAAGACCTATTACAATACAATTACAATTATTATATTGATAAAGGCAACCTACAGTGCAAAATCCAAACAACCAATAATGTTCTTTATAGAATTAGAAAACAAAATCCTTATACAAAAGCACAAAAGACAAAAAAAACAGCAGTTCAACCAGAACATAAGAAACAAAGCCAAAAAAAGAAAAAAGAAAAAAATTCTTAGGTACTTGTAATTGAAGTAAGTTAACTAAAACATGCAAATGATCTGATAAACATTCCTCAAAAGAAGTAGAAATAAACACATGGGGGAATGCTCACATTTTGGCCACAAGGGAAATATAATCACAATGCCAGTGATGTATCTGCAATGGCTAATCACCATCAAAGCTTGACAAGAGTTAGAATCACCTAGTGGACTGAGACCCACTAGTGGGGGTATCTATGAGACAGTTTCCAAAGAGGATTAACAGTCATGAAGAGGAACAGAACCAAAGCTAGGGCCCCGAGAGAATAAGAAATCAAGTTAGGCACGAGTAGTCCTTTCTCTGCTTCTTGACTTAAAGGGATTAAAAATGTGTGTGCTCCATACCTCCTTGCTAACTAAAGCAGGAGCCAAACAAATTCTTTCCTCCCTCAAGCTGTTTCAGTCAAGTATTTTGTTATAGCAACAAGAAAATGACTCAATTCTCCACCTAAATCGTTAATAACAACCACAAAAAACACTTGCTGGAGAGATGTGAGAGAAAAGAACTCATATGAGCTCTTGTTGTGACTGTAAATTAACAGACATTATAAAGAAGGGTAGTGCTACATGACCATAACAACCTGGGAGAAATAAGAGCAACACGGAAAAGAAGTGCCTCTATACTCCTGTTCACGTGGCACTGTTCACAACAGCTAAGACACAAAAGCAGCAAAAAGATGAATGGATAACTACAGTTTACACACATAGTGCAAGACTGTGGAATAAACATATCCATGCAGAAGAAAGAATTCCTGTGCTTTGCAGCAATGAAGAGAGCTGGAGTACATGGTGTTAAGTGGCATAAGTTAGGCATGGAAAGGACAAATGCAGGTTTTCTTCCATATGTGGAAACTAAAATTCATTTTTAAAAGTAACCTAGGAGTAGAATAATGATGATTAAGGAGTGGAAAGGGTACTAGGTCAGGGTAGGGGTGCACAGAAAAAAAATTATATGAAGAAATGAAGAAAAAAAATACGTACATACCATTAACTTTTGTCCTGGTTCAGGACAGAAAATAACAAAATCTGCTTCAATGTTAAGATGAATGTGACCTTGATCATCAAAAATATCTCCCAGTTCACCCACAACTCTGATGTTATCATATGCAATAGGAACACCTAAAAGGCTGTTAAAGGAAGAAAAAAAAAAAAAGGATATTGTTAATCCTATTTAAAGACAGTCATACTGATCTGCTGAATCTCCCTGATATACCAGTCTTTCCCAAGCATAGTGGCATCACCTAGTCTTATAGACTAACAATAGCAGATTTTAGCAATTACAGGTTACCAAAAAATTCCAATGTGACTATCAATATGGGTATTCAAAACTATGTACTAGAAATAAACTGGCTCTTCCTTATATGATGCCTATTTCAATCAGTCAGACTAGGAGAAATAATGGGACTAGGAAAGGAAATACTTAGGTGCTTGTATGAATATAGGCAATTTTGACATTATCTACCATTACTGAATCTCTATGCATAATAGTATATAATAAGGGAATCGTTACTGTTTAATCTACTTTGATCACTGGAACCAATGACTTAATAGAGAAAAATACCAAACTGAAAGCAGAAAAAAAGTATATACAACCATATCATTTGGAAACTGACTGACACTTAGACAGACACATTTCAAGTCAAGATTAGCAGGCAATGATTACTTCAAAAGGCCAGTTAACTAAGAAAGATGCATGAGCTTTACTATTTCTCCCACACCAAATACTTCAAGAAAACTGCCCTGACCCCCCATACACACACAAATCACTATTTTACCACATGTAAAACTTATTACTATTTGTAACCTAATTTTATTGAATCCATCTGTATATATGTTTTGATTCAACACACAACTCTAAGACTATGGACAGCAGAAAAATGTTTTATTGGCCTCAATTAAATTTCTAGTACAATCTCTAAAGAGAAAGAACTTTCAATAGATTTCATTGAAACAGCCACAACCCATAGGAAAGGAATTGCAATGGCTACCAAATTAGGAAAACCATAAATTCAGATGTCCTAGAATACTCTTGAATTTTTAGCTGCTACGTGGCTTTCCGAACCAGAAGTCATAACATCCCTAAGACAATGTTAGGGACATTGAAAAGAGGACAAAAGGGAAGCCCAGAAGTAACCACCACAACTGGCAAGAAAAAGTGTCTGTTGCTTCTGCCAAAAACCTTCTCTCTATAATACACAGCAGTGACCTCCACGGGGGAAGCACTGCTGTCCCATGGAAGACACTTGAGAACATGTGGCGTTGTTTGCGTTTATCACAGAAACTGCAAAAGCCGGGAAAGAAAGTCTGCTTTGTGCAGACTAGCTTTGCACATGTGCAAGCAGCCTCTCTGCATATTCTTAAACCAGAGGCAAACTTGTTCCAAATCACTAGGGACAGAATATATATAGTAACATAAAGTCATCTGTCAATTTTATGTGCTCCTAACATAACAAAAATCTGCTGGATATGAAATAATATATAAATCCAAGAAAAACTGTTTTGTGTCACCTTACCAAAAGTAACTATTTCATAAAAGCATTGGTAATTGTAGATACAACATACATGATCTGAGCTCTAAGTGCAAAATGCCTGTTTAATCAATCTGCATTTGACTGCAACACTTATTCAATGATTCTTATGTACAAGTGCAGAAGCATCTAACTTCTTCAATCCTCCCAAACAGTTTTGCTTGAATGTCATGTATTGAAACACTTTATAGGTTGGAACACCATGTAAAATGTTCAGTTATGTAGATAGGTCATGTTAATTTTTAAATTTCATTTCAGCATTTCATTTTCATAACAGTAAAGAGAACACTGCAAACTATTGCTCCTAAGGAGAATACCAGGTCCAACAGGGTTCAACATCGCTAAGGACTGTTATGACCACTGAGTGGCAGGCTAAAAGAATGTGTAAACCCATAAAACCTTTAGGGAAACTACTTAGAGACTTAGAGGAACTTACCAAAATCATATTCAAAGAAAGACATTCTAACACTAAAAATGTTTTTCAATTTAATATATACATGTATATAACTATATTTACTTTATATCAATATATATACACATATATACACATATATCAATATAAATCAAGTATACACACATATATACTTGATATATATTGATACATTAAATCAAGTATATATATACATATATGTATATCTAAGTGTGTGTGTGTGTGTGTGTGTGTGTATAAAATCAGTAGTTATCAGGTTCACAAGGTAACTTCACCTAGGATATGTAGGAGGCAACTAAATCAAGTTTAAGGGATATTCATCTGACATCTTTAAATATCCCAAGGGTGGCAAATGGAAAAGAATATGTCTTGTTTTGTTTTATTTCCCCCACAAATTGCTTCTTAAATGTTCAACTTAGATGTTACAATGTGATCTTAGAAAACTACTTACTTTCTCTAACAGAACAGTCCAAAGTTGAAAGTAAAAAAACAAAGACAAAAAACTGCCACAGAGAAAGAAATGTAATAGTCTATTAAATGCTGCTGAGACAACTCAAGCATTAACATGGGAATCTCAATCCTATTTCTTTTTCATTATTAAAGAAACAGAAGACAGAGCTACTGATGCTACAGAACTGCCCACAAGTCTAAAAACATAAACTATATAGGATAAATAGTTAATTAATATTATAATACAATTTTCAGTATTTTCAGTATTTTGTCATTTGCTTTATTAATACTCTTAACTAACACTCAAATAACACTGGAAGCTAATCTGAACTGAAAAAAAAATTGGCTTTTAGCATAGTAACAAGGAGAGGAGGTGTCCAGATAAATTAAAGAGTTCTGTTCTACATGGCTGCATTATCCAATTCTGTTACAGAAATTATTGGTTTCTCATCTGGAATAATGACTCCTATTATACATCTCTAGATAATTTTCCCCTAACGGATGAAAAACTGATTAGAATACTTAGCATAACAGCCTATGTTTTCATGTTTAATGATCACCTGTATATTCTTGAATCTTTCAAACCCTCTAATCATTTTCTTATAAGAATTGTTAATTAATCTCTTTGTCTACTGCCTCATTCTATTTAAAATATCGTCTAATTCAAAATTGTTTCTCAAATTGCAGATGTAGCCATGTCTTAGGGACTATATACGTACTATTCCTCTCAAGAGAGTTTCAAGTCTCCACTGGAGACTAATAAGTGGATAAAGCAACAACTGTGCTTTAAGAATCAAAAACTTGGAACTAAAGAGACAGCTCAGTGGAAGAGCACTTGCTGCTCCTGCAAAGGGTCCTGATTCCATTCCTAGCATCCACTTGGTGGTTCACAATCATACATAATCCCAGTTTCGGAGGACCTGATGCCTTCTTCTGGGGGCACCAGGCATGCGCAGGATGCACATATACACACACAGGCAATATGTAAATAAATAAATCTAAAAAAACAAAACAACTTAAAGAAAAGGGAAAATGACAGATAAAGGCAGAATGGGAGGATACAATGGCCAACTTCTAGGTCACCTCTCAGTCTCTGACATTCTACTCAGGAATCCAGTGGCATTCACTGTGTTTCCCCTGAAATAAGCTTCACTGCAGTTGTACAGTATTTACAGTTCTCTGGTCCCAGCATTCTAGCTTACCTCACTACCCATCTGTTTATGTCGCTCACTGGCAGGAATGCTCCCATCTAAATACCACCCTATTGTGTTGTCCTCAAATGTAACAAGATCTAATTTCACTTTTCTCACTCTAGCTTACTTTAGGTCTAGTCAAATTTTAACAGTTCACCGGATTTGCCTTACGTCTATATCCCCACACGATCGCAACATGGCATGAAAGCAGGACCTCACTTTTCTCTCTCTCTCTCTGCCAACTCCCTAAGTCATAATAAGACATACAGGTGTGTAATGGTGCTTAAAGGAAGTTGTATTGTTCTAGGCAGGCTTGATAGTTAATGGGGTTGACTGTGCCAAAATCCTCTAGAGTGCTAACAGCTTTGAAGAATCTGCCCGTGAAACATAGGAAATCCCTGCTATTTCTGAAGTTTCATAGAATTACTGAAGGGCAAGGATGTTTCTGGGAGCCCATAAGCCTCAGTCTTAGAACCTCAGCCCCTTTCGCGTCAAAATAGTTGAGTAATAAAGGCATATCACTTCCCTTTGAAATTCTGAGACTTTTTTCAAGTATCTTAATATAAATGCACTAAAGTGTGTGTGTTTGTGTCTAAAGAAGTGAACAGACTTTCTGTTCCTACAAACAAAACAATGCTCATCACTCATCCCCAATTAGGCGCCAGAGAAGAAAACCCAAGCAATCCACCCAAAACAAACAAACCCGCCTATGTTTTGCAATGAAATGACTTATCCATGTTTATATGCTGTCTCCACGGAAGGAGACTCTAGTACTGACAGCAAAATTTCACTATTAAGTGAGAACACACCCGGAAGTGGCTGAATGAAACTTTTAATACCCACACAAAACTCAGCCAAGTGGGTTTCTAGACACCTGGCACCACTAGTCTCCACGCGGGAAATACTTTTTGCATTGCTGCACCGCCAGAACTGGGCCACTTCATTCAGGGCAGCGGCGCCGACAACCGCAGAGGCTGGGGTGAGGTTCAGGCCACCCGTGCGACCTTACTTCCGCGGCGCCATGGGGTTACGTAGCCAGGGCTCGTTCCCGAGCTGAGAAGGGGCGGCGGGCACCGTCGGAGCTGCCGGCTCGCACCAGGAGACGGAGAGCCCTTACCTCTCGGAGTAGCGCAGGAGCTCGGCGTCCAGCTGCTCGCGGATGCCCGTGCGCTTCCTGCTCAAGTAGCGCGGCGACAGGGCGATGTGCCTGCGGTGCGGCGCGGCCACCAGGCAGGAGTAGCGGCTGCTCACCAGCGCACACGCCGCGGCATAGCTCGGCAGCTCCAGGCACGGCAGAACCGCGGCCTGACTCGCCACGGGCCTCTCGGAGGCCGCCTTGGGCCGCGGTGAGTCCGCACAGCCCGCAGCCATGAGGCTGGCCTGGGTGCTTCGGGGCGCACACGGGTGACGCAAGCATCCCCGCCGCGCCTCCGACGCGCGGCTGATGTCATCAACCCGCGACCGGTGGCGAGCTAGGGCTTTTTCTCACCTAAGGCTGCATTAAGGAAGTATGACCAGCAGAGGGCTGCTGCTCTTTCCCAAGTGCAGCTGAAACGCCAAGGCTGTGGTACTTTTATTGAGTGTGCATCAAATCCAGGGAACTCCTGATTTATGTAGGCATATATAGATCATTCATCACTGCGCAGTATGCTCAGTTATGGGGCGAAGCTTCATTTTATTGATCTGAGCACTCAAACCTAAAAAGGCAGAGGACCAATATAGCTTGATTTTTTTTTTTCAAAGCACCTTAGTTGATTTCAGTGCTAGGCCAAGGTCTAATAAATCGATGTTTTCCTTTTGTTCGGGTTTTTGGTTTTGTTTTTAGACGGTGTATTTACATGGAGCCGTGGCTGGCTTGAAACTCACTATATAGACCAAGCTGGTTTGGTCCTAATTCTTAGATACCTGCCTGCCTCTGCATCAGGAGAGCTGGGATAAAAAGGCATGTGCCACTTAGGTATTTTCTTGATTGGATTTAGCATGATTGTTAATAGGAGTGCCTGTTCCAGTCGCAATGTGGCCTGATAAATTTTTATGAGCTGAAGCTGTTCGGTAAGGAATCAGAAACACTAATGGAGTGTTTTTTCTAGGATGAACACAGGCCTACATAGCAGGCCACAAATCTCAAAGGCAACGTCTGAACTGATGCCACCATATCTCTCCAATCTGGCTTCCCTCTTCCTCCTGCTGAATCACTGTGAGGGGGTCATGCCATGCTTTTCAAATCGCTAAGCACACCTATCAACCTTGAGCCTTCTTTTGTATACCCAAACCAATCAAATCAGCAGGGAGGGCTTGTATTTCCCAAGAGGAAAGTTTCACTTGGGTGATGTTCTCATGGCCCAAACTCTTCCTCTGGCTCTTACAACCCACACCTTCTTCAGTAATGACCCCTAAGCCTTAAGGGCAGGAATTGTATTATAGATGTATCCGTTGGGACTAGAATCCACAACTCTACATTTTGATTGGTAGTTTTCTGAAATGGTCTTTATCTGTTGCAAAGAGAATTGTCTTTGATGAGGGGTGAGGACTACCATTATCTGTGTATCTAAAGACGATATTTAGAATGTGGCTATGGGTACTTGCTAGGTTTCCATTACTAGGCATGATCTCCCTCCTGTTGATGGGTCTTAAGTCCAATTAAAGAGCTGCTGATTGCCAAAAAGTAATGTGTGGCACTACTGGACCCATGGGGTTATTATGTCATTCTGACCATTGAGGTGGTTCATGGGCATCATAGCTGTGTAACGACTGGTGGTTTCCCTCCCTGAAAGCTTGTATGCTGACTCGTGTACAGTGAAAGCTAGTCTTCATAGAGGAGACTTCTGGATCAATTCTGCCTCAGACCCTTTAGGCTCTGAGTCTGATGTGCATGGTATCATCATTAACAGAAACTTACCCTCTAGGGTCCAACCAAGGACAGTAGCAATACCATATAATGTTTAGAAGTCTCTTAGGCAACCCTAACCAACAACTTGCTTTGTTGCTTGATTCCTGCTCCCAGTCAGGGTTGGTCACTGTGTGGAGGTGGAGGAAGCCCAGGCCTCTTCCAGGATGCTTTCTGCAGTCTTAGCAGAATGCACACGGGAAACAGACAATAGTTCCCCCAAAGTGAGCATTCTCTCTGCTCTATGCCTGCTCTAAGCAGTCCTGGGGAAGGGACAAAGTCCTCATGGGCTGAGCCTGAAGGAAAAGAGAAAGTTCTACTCCTTTCTCTTTCATAATAATTTATGTATCTTTTTTCAATCAGTAATCTGTAAAATCACCATTCTCTGAAAAAAAAATTTTAAAGTAAAGAACAGTCCCTGGGCTGGGCAGTGGGGACTGCTGGCAGAAAATGCAGCCTGGACAGAACAGATTCTCTTCTGTCCAACACTAACCAAAGAGACTTTAAGCAATTTCACTAGGTAGTTTGTAGAAAGACTAATGACAGCTGATTTTTTTTTAATTCCCTTGCCTCCTAAGGGGTGCAGGGGCTGTCTCTGACATGGACTCTGTTGACTGCTCTTTGATCACTTCCCTCTGGTGGAGTGGTCTTGCCAGGCCACAGAGGAAGAGGATCCAGGCACTCCTGATGAGACTTTATAGGCTGGGTCAGATGGTAGGGGAGGAGGGCTTCTTGCTTCTGAGGACTAGGAGAGGAGGATAGTGGGGAAGAGAAATGGAAGGTAGGATCAGGAAAAGACCAGGGAGGGGCCTACAATCAGGATATAAAGTGAATAAATTACAAAAAAAATTCCTTGTCACTCAGTTGGCCCCATATATTAGAAAAAAAGTTTAAAGGGTAGAAGAATTTAAAGATATAAGTAGGTCCCAGGTGCTGCAGGTAGCTTTAGGAGTGTTTAACACCAGAGAACTGATTCAGGCAAGACCTTTTACAGAAACTGAAAGCCTCTGTCACCTTCTCTGATGATGAGACTTGGTTAGATGTACAGATAGCCAGAAAAATGTCAGTGTCTCACCCTCTGTCAGAATAAATCACCACGACCTCCTCCCAGGACTAGTACAGCACCAAGCTTCTGTAATTGTTCAACTAACCGGTTCAGCTACCTCTGTTCAGATTAAACAATACCCAATAACCCAGGAACAATAGGGGAAACTGCAGTCCATATTGCCTGGCTTGAAGAGACAGGAATCCTGGAGCTCTGCCAGTCACCCTGGAATACACCTCTCCTGCCTGTGAAGAAAGCTGGGACCTCTGATTCCCATGAGTCTGATTCTTCCAGAGAAACATCTGTGGCACATACTATCCAGAACTTTCCCCCATATTGTCACATAATATTCAGGACTACTGTTGATAACAGTGTAAGATAGCCGGGACTCACGTCTGTGCATGCTCCACATATGCATGGACCTCGTATTCTAAATTGCTTCCCTTGGGGGTATTTCACGTACAGGCTTGTGATGGCGTATGAGATGCGGGACTTCTTCTAACGTTGGGTCAAGATAACCAGTTCTTTGTGCGTGTGTAGCGATAGCCATGACTGCTTCCAATATGGGCACATAGATGCAACATTCTTTCAATACAGACCCATGGTATGTGTGCAGGACTACTTCCTGTGTGGGTACATGAGACTCAGAATTACTTACAGGCAGATGCACAAGAACTAGGACTTCTTCCCAAGTGATACAGATTCCAGGACTTCATTCCATGCAAGTAGTACACATGCATGCCTGCTCACCATGCAAACACAGGACATACAAACAGCTTCATGTGCTGGCACGTGGGATGGAGGAATTCATTCTGAGCAGATACATGATACCCAGGACTGCTGCCCTTGCACTGGGTCCAGTGCCGGTACATGACATCAAGGACAGTCATATGACATCTAGAACTGGTTCCTATGCAGTTATATGATATATACGAATTTTTCCATGTGGGTACAAGACTTTGTTCCATGATATGCAGGATGCCAACCCACGTGGGAACCTGACAAACAGGACTGTTTCATAGTGGGGTACATGAGATCATGGCCTGCTTGCCATGAGGGTACTTGCAATAAGAATTCTTGTTATGTAAGAATCCTTCACATGTGGAAAAATAACGTCCAGAACGTCTTCCCACTTGGGGACAGTATTTCCAGGAGAGTTGCCCATGTGGCTGCATGATCCACCGGGCTGTTTTCCAGGCTGCTATACAACGTCCAGCGTTGCTCTCCATAACGGTACATGATACACACGTCTTTCCATGCAGACACATGATATTTAGCGCTCCATACACGTGAGCACAGGATATACAGGCCTTCACACCGCACTGGTACATGATTTCCAGATCATTCCCTAAGACGGCTTTCCATGCGGGTCCATGATACACATCACCTCTTCTCATTCAGGGACAACATACCCGGGACTGCTTCTCCTGTGGAGACTTAAAATCCAGGACCATTCCCTGTGTGGTAGCTGACATGCAGGACTACACACGCAAGCACACGACATCATGTGCTTTTTAACAGGTTCATGCAGGTTCATGATGTCCGGGACTGTTTCCCAGGTAGATAAATGGTATCCAGGGCACCCATGTGGGTACATCATATAGAGGTCTTGCTCCCCCACACATAGCACACATTTAAGAGGGCTTCCCATGCAGGCGTGTGATAGTCATCATTTCTTCCTTTAGCGTGTACACGGCACCAAGTACTGCTTACCACGTTGGTACCAATGCCCTGGACTGTCTGCCATACAGGCGTGTGATATCTGTGACTTTGTCCATTGCAGGTCCGTAATATGCAAAGCTGCTTCCTGTACGGGTACGATATACTCAGGCCTGCTTATCACGTGGAAATGTTCTATCCACAGCTACTCCCAACACAGAAAAATGAAATACACTTTATCTTCCTTCGAAGTTACACGATAGCCAGGATCTCTGCCTCTGCGCGGATGACAGTTATCTTGCAATGGCCATTCGGTACATCAGGGATCTGGCATCACAAGGGTACGGGATATCCAGGATGTGTTCCATGTGGGCACGCGATATACAGGGCTTCTTCCCATGTGGGTGCAGGACACTCAGGGCTTCTTCCCAGGCATGCATATGATAGCCAGGACTTCACTCTGAGGTACATGGGTTTAACAAAGTTTTTGCTCGTTTAAGAAAAAAAAAAAAAAAAGCACTGGCATTTTGCACTGTGATTTTAACAAGCCCGCTTTACCTAAAAATGTACAAACAGCTGTTCCGATTCAAGCAACTTCAGAGTTGCAGGAGAAAAACTGACCATGCCATTGTAAGCGGGATTTGGATTACCCCATAATAGAAGTGCCAAGGTTTTTGCAAATACCCCACTGGGTAGTGATTTTTCACTTCTGCACATCTTTTTCTAAAGACGTCACCATGTGCTTTTAAAACTTAGATTTTTGTACTTGGTTCTGTTATCACTTTCTTGCTCTTAGCCCTAAGCCTAGCCCTGACCCCTGGGCAGTGGGACCCCTAGGCAGTGTGTGCTCTGCTTTCTTAGAAAACAATCACCGTTTCTCTGTCTGTATCACTTTGCATTGGTATAACAAAGTTCTTGCTCTTGGAAAAGTGCTGCTGCTTTCACTATGTTTTTTAACCAACTTGCTTTACTTCAGAACGTACACACAGCTGTTCTGCTGCAAGCAACTTTAAGGTCGTGCAAGCAAAACTGACCACTTCCTTGTAAATGGAATTTAGTTTTCGCTGCAGTAGAAATACAGCGTTATTTGCCAAAATGCCACTAGGTGGTGCTTTAGTTACTTGTGTGTTTTCTAAATGTAACGTTGAGTGGTGGTAAAGTTTTCTGCTCCGCTCTATTTTTCTTTCTTGTTCTTAACCGGAACTCTAACTCTAAACTAACTCTAAATCTAATACTAACTAATATGTCCTTTTGAAGTGCTACATTAATAAATTCATGTGCTCCGCTTTCTTGCCAAACAATCACCACTTGTCTCTCAGTACTGCTCCGGGAGGTGCACGGACACACACAGAAGTGCTAGTACTTGTAAAAGTGTTGCCATTTTAACTGTGTTTGTAACAACTTGCTTTAACTAGAAACAAACACAGCAGATCTGGTGAAAGCAACTTCAGGGTTGTGTGAGTAAAAAGCCATTACGATGTAAACAGGATTCACTTTTCACTGCAGTAAAGTACAATGGTTTTTACAAACAAGCCATTATGTAGCTGTTCCCCCCACACACACCCCAACTTGAGCATGTGTTTAAAGATGACATTGTGTGCTGTTAAACTTACAGATTGTTGTTCTGAGCTCTCCCATTATTGTCTTGTTCTTAACTCTAACCCTATCCCCAAACCCTGACTGAATCCCTCACCCCAACTACTAACCACTAACCCTAACCCTGAGTAACCTTAATCCTGACACTGACTGATCCTAACCCACCATGATTACATTGAAAAGAAATAAGCACTCATATTGGAAAGTATAAAGTAAGTGTAACTGGGATTGGTGGTACACAGTTGCAACAAAAGCAACTCAAGAAGCTGAGGCAGGGGATTACCATGCTAGGCTATCCTGCACTACCACAATAAACCTCAAACAACAGTCTAAATATCCAAACTTGAGGCTTGTGAACGCTGAGAATCTTTTTTCTTCTTCAAGAATTCTACCTGCCCTTCCCATCTCCTGGAAGATTGTATGTGTCTTAATTGCTGTTCTATTGTTTGTGCAGAGACACCATTCAACACAACTTTTTTTTTTTTGAAAAACAGATCTTTATTTCATGACTGGTTTAGAACAATTGTGACAATTATTTACTATTTGAATGAAGCATTTATTTCTGGTGGTTTTAAGTCCATGAATCCCTAGGTCTAGTTTGATGTCTGAACTCTGACTTTCTAAAATAAAAATCTTTTCTGCAGGTGGCCTACTTTGTGAATGAATAATCCCTGAGGAATGAAGAAGATTAAATATTTTGGAAGTTCTTGGATGAACTTTGATAAATGGATAAAGTATTTATAATTTATTAAAAAAAACAAAAGCAAAGAAAGTGAGCTAAATCGCCTTTGTTGTGTTTCTTTTTCTGTTCCTCACATACCCACATAATTTGCTCAGTTTCCTTTTTCTCTTAAAGAGCACAGTAGCAGCTCTTGTGCCGTGAGTTTTTTTGTTCATTAGTGTGCCATCACGGGATTTTGAATAGTTACTGTTAGGAAAAAGCAGATTCTCCCCTCGACCAGTAAAATCACCAAACTTACATGTACAGAAATAGGAATGAACATCTTTTACTTGTTCAAAATGATGTCACAGCCATATCATCTCAGGCGAGACTTACTGGCCAGGTATGGCGGTCCACTCCTGTGATCCCAGCACGCAGGAGGCAGGGTCAACACAACTCTTATAAGAGAAAACATTCACTGGGGACTTGCTTTTAGTTTCAAAGGTTTAATGCATTACAAAGAAACATGTCAGCACACAAGCAAGCACTGGAGCAGTAGCTGAGAGCTACATCAAGATGCACAGGAAGAGAGAGTGAAAGCAAGTGGGGGGGGCAGGCAGGCAGAGACAAAGACAAATAGAGAGACCTAATCCTTCTAATCCTTCCAAACAATTTTACTCCCTGGCCTGAGCATTAAAATATATGAGTTTATAGGAGCTCACATAAATGATTCTTATTCAAATCACTACAGTATATGTTAATAGACTTACGTTTTAGTCTTGTTATTAATCTTAAGAAAATATAATGGCTTTTAGCTAAGTAAAGGTAATATTTTCTGCTATGTGCCTCCACTCAAAATGCTTTGAGGGATTGGGGATGTGGCTCAGTTGGTAGATTCCTTGCTGCTTGCACAAAGCCCTGGGTTTGAGCCTGAACAGTATAAACTGAGTGTGTGGAGAAACCTGCGATCCCAGAAGATGGGAGATGAAGGCAGGAAGACCAGAAGTTCAAGGTCATCCTCAGCTACACATCCTTGTGTCAAGGTCAGCCTGGAGTACATGAAACTTTGTCCAAAAAAAAAAAAAGAAAGAAAAGAAAAGAAAAGAAAAGAAAGCCTTTATAGTCTCAACATTGGTTTTCCCCGAGGGAAAAAGCAGACCCAGGATGGCATGCAGATGGTCAAAACGGCTGTGTAGCCTTCCAAAGGTCATTGCCATCCTATGGTGCAATAGAGGATCCCCCCACACAGACACAGTGTATAAGCCGGCAATGTTCTGAATTTAAACATCAGTTCTGCAGTACTTCTGGAAGATGTCCTGCAGTCAGCTTTCAAGTACCTTCCTGCCACAGCAGCCTTAAAGGAAGTCAGAATTTATAAGCCAGATGAGCAAGATTCTGAGAGTCTGCTTAATTTGAGGACAAACTGGTCTAACAATGGAGAATAGCATGTGTTTGAGAAAATGGTTGTTTGACAAAGATGACAGTTGGATAAAAGTTGTCTGAGAAATTTCTGAATTAATAAAACTGGACAAATGAAAACTTGGTAGAATCGTTTATTCTCGTGAGTTACGAAGCCACTAAAATGCTGACCATATTTTCTCCATCCTCTTGTTCCTAAGGAGACAAAGAAGAGTAAACTCAGCTGGGAGAAGCAGAGTGATTGCTTTACAAATCTGCAGACAGTGAGAGAGAGAGCAGAAGTCAGCCACACCTGCCCTCCACTGCGCTAATCAAGGGGCGCTGTTGGAGAAAACAGCCAATGCGTTGGAGAAATACTTACAGAGGCAGTTGGTCACTGAGGTTCCTGTATACAGTTTGGGAATTCAATGCGTTTATATAAGAAATGCACTGTGAGGCGGGAATGGTGGAAGGTATCTACAATGTCAGCACTTTGGGGGCTGAGGGAGGAGGATCACTGAGAGCTGAAGACTTGCCCGGGCAGCATAGTGAGATCCTGTCTGTCTCAACCCCCTGATCCCCAAGAAATATGTTTCACGAGGTGGTGGTTAAGCTCTGGTTGTTCTTAATACTCTGTTTTTGCACCCTTCCATGAAAAGTATTTCCTAGTTGTATTTGTGTGTGCATTCCCCTGAAGGTGTGCTTATGTGTGCACGTGTGGAACAAACATGTGTGTGGATGCTCGTTTGCGTGCCTGTGGCGGTCAGAGGTCAACCTCGGGGATTGTTCCTCAAGATGGCCAACGTGTTTTGGAGACGGGGCTATGGGCAAGTCCCAGCGTTCCTTCTGTCTGTGCCTCCCACAGGCAGGCATTACAAGTGTGTGTCATCATGTCAGACTTTTTACATGGGTCCTAGGGAGCAAACTCCATGCTTTCATGTCAATGCCAAGTACTTTGTCACTAAGCAACAACCCAGTTTCTAGTTCCATTTCTTGTGACGATAGCAAACCTTTTTCTCTGGCTGAAACATTTTAGATACCAGCTACCGCTTTAGTCATTTGCCTGCGGTCACATTTAGGAAGCTGGTGAGCTGAAAATCCTTTGTGTGTGTGTCTAGGTGTGGTTTGGAGTACGTGCAAGCGGAGGCCAGAGGTTGATGCTAGGTGTCTTCCTCAGTTGCTTTCCACCTTACTTTTTAGACAAGGTCTCAGTGAACCTGGAGCTCACTGATTAAGCTAGACTAGCTGGCCAGTGAGCTCCAGAGACACACCTGCTTTTCCCAGTGCCAGGGTTGCAGGCATGTGCCGCCGTGCCCAGCTTTTACATGGGAGCCCAGAATTTGAAGTTGGGTCCTTATAGTTGTGCAACAAGCCCTTTGCCACATGAGCCATCTCCCTGATCTGAGACCAAAAAAAAAAGAAAAGAAAAAGAAAATCTTAAAGGTCCCCCCTCCCGTTTTACCATTTCCTTGGTCTTGAGAGTAATGGGTACTCTGTGCGTGGTATTCGAGATCATACAAGGCAAGTAGGTACTCCCATCGACATCCCCAGCCCGAGCGATGACCCCTGAGTTAATAAATCCTCGTTGAGGAAAGCTTTTACATGAATTGAGTTTAACTGAGACATTAGCTGGAAGATTTCTACACCTATAAAATTTTATCCCAGTTTTGTTTTGTTTCGTTTTTGTTTTTTTCTGACACGGCAATTTTTTAGCACACTCGATGCTGTAATATCTCAATCTAAAATTGCCGGGCTGGGGCCTGGAGAGATGGCTCAGCTCTTAGGAGGCTGCTCTTCCAGAGGACCTGGATTCAATGCTCACAACAGGCTGTAACCCCACGCCAATGGGTTACAGCGCCCTCTTCTGTCCTCTGTGGCCACTGCATGCACGTGGTACACAACACTCAGGAGAACACGCATACACATAAAACAAAAATAAAATCTCAAAAAATTCATTGTCAAGCATGCACAGAGCCTACATTGTTGATATTTACTTTATAGAATGCAATTTTGAGAAACTGTTTTAAGATACACTCTATTCTATTTTCTGAAAGAGAGTGAGAGATTGACTTGTTAGACAGGGTCTTTCTACATAACCCTGCCTGTGCTGGAATGCACAATGTAGATTAAGCTGTCCTTGAACTCACAGATATCTGCCTGCTTCTGTCTACTGAGTGCTGGGCTTAAAAGCATGATGTGGTTTTCTAATGAGAAAAGAATGAACTGCCTCAGACACTCCCTCTCTACGTCTACCATTGTCCCTCTTCTTCCTAGGGCAAGCTTCCCTGCCTTCACTTCCTGAGAGCTGAAAGTTAAAGGGGGTGAAATATTTCTCTCAACAGGGCCATGGGAGTGCGGAGAGACGGCTTGCCGCACAACTGCGAGGACCTGAGTTCGAAGCCCCGGAACCCAGGCAAAGCTAACACTGTGAGGCAAACTTGGTGCTTCTACAGCAAGATTCGGGGTGGAGACAGAGACTCCTGGAACCTCATGAGCTGGCTAGCCTGGGGTACGCACTGTAGTGGCAAACAACAAAGAGACAATATGGGAGGTGAAAACTGACACTGTAGCTTCCATGTGTGCCATCACACACACACACACACACACACACACACACACAAGGGTAGTGGTTCTCTACACATAATGGTATTAATATCATACCATATTACTAAAATATCTTTAAAAACTTACACTTCATCCCTGAATTTCTCCAGAGTTATCATATGTCCATCATCTTTCAAAACTTCATCTGCAGTACACAGACCCAGGTTCTTTAACGCTGCAAAAGTGAAAAGGAAAAGAAACGCAACTTTACAAACCAGAATTGTTTTCAGGTAGAGAAAGTGACTGGTCTCCTCCTCCGGTGCGTGGGTCACACTGACCTTCTTTATATTGCATGAACGAGACACAGCCTCTGCCGGAGGAGTCCATCATCTCAAACATGGACAGGATGTTAGTGTTGTTCATAAAGTACGGGTATATCAGGTCTGTCCTCTTTGCGAGTCTCAGCCGTTCCAAAAGAATGATTAAATACTCTCTCGGGTCTTCTGCAAATAGGTAGTTGAAACTCATTCTTACGTGAAATGAAGCTGTGTCACAGGTAGAAATAGTCCCTTAAGAGTCACTGAATGCCTGTGCTCAAGGTCCTGCGCCAGGCACCCGGATGCAGTCATTGCTTCAATGCAACTTACAGTGCAAGAGAGATCACTTAGGAAACCGGGCCTAGCAATGCTCTGCCTCGGGTGACTGGTGGCCCTGACCAGTCTGGACCTGGGCATTTCCTAAAATCTCCCCAGATGACCTAACTTGCAGACAGAGGTGGAAATCAGAAAGACAGGGATGCTGTGATGCAGGCAAGGCGGTGACCAGCTAAAATAGAGGTAACAGAAACATAGTCCTAGACAAAAGCAGTCTTCTGATGAGGTGGCTGAATGTTTATTTCTAACACAGAAGTGGTGCTCTGTGCCAACAGGCTCTTCTACTGAAATGATTTAAAAATGAAAAATTCAATCCACTTTCCAAAAAAAAAAAAAAAAGGAAAAATGAGACAGTCATGGCAGAAGACGCTATCACTGTGTCTTATTCTTTGAATATTAGGTTTTATGCTTACCTTTTCTAAAAATCATTTGTAAGTTATTGGTGACAAGTCATTTTAAGGCTTTTGGGACAGAGGAGCTGACTCAGCATTTAGTAATACTTGTTCTTGCAAAGAATCCATATTCTGTTCCCAGCACCTACCTCAAGTAGCTCACAATAGCCTCTAACTCCAGTTCCAGAAGACCTAATGCCCTCGTATGGCCTCTTTAGGCACATGCACACATATGACATACTTAAGACAGATGCACACATAAATAAAAGTAAAAACAAACCTAAAGAAAAGGGTAATGGACCAATCAACTTCAACTGCTAGAATTTGTGACCAATCTTATTTCACTATACTGTCTTCTACATACCTATGTATGAATATACATATATGTGTGTGTGTGTGTATATTACATATATATGTGTCTCTGCGTGTATGTATGTATGTATATATTATTTGATTTTTCAAGACAGGGTTTCTCTGTGTAGCCCTGGCTGTCCTGGAACTCATGCTGTAGACCAGGCTGGCTTCGAACTCAAGAGATCTGCCTGCCTCTGCCTCCCAAGTGCTGGGATTAAAAGTGTGTGCCATCTTTAATGGCAATGCCTGGATTCTCTACACATATGTTTTCATTAACAAATACTTGAAGTGTGGATCTCTAAGTTACTTTTCTGTTGCTATGCTAAAATACTCTGCCAAAAGCAGCCTAAGGGAGGAGGGGTTTATTTTGCCTCACAGTTCCAAATTAAAATCTAACAAGTCAGGGAAGGCCCTGGAGCAGGAAGCAGAGAGGTGGTCGCTTCTGCTGAGCTCACTTTCCCTTTGTATGTCCAAGATCCTAATCCTGCACACGTTTCCCCAGCCCAATTAGCCTAATCAAGATAATCCCTACAGACATGCCCCAGACGATTCTAGGCCTCATTGACCATGAATCGAAAGAAACAAAGGAAATGTAATCAAAGCATAGTATATATGTATGTTAGCTATAGACCTTTTTCTAAAAACAGCACTGACTGTGAACTCTGGCTGTACTAAATGTGTGTGTTAGGTTTCATGGTAAAGAGATTTAGGTCGGTGGTTAAGAGCACTTGTTCTTGAAGAGACTCTGGTTGAGGTCCCAGTATGATTAAACACGGGTAGCTCCAGGTCAGGGGGTCTGACACTTCCTTCTGACCTCCTCAGGTACCAGGCACGCCCATGACGCACAGCCATATATGCAGGGAAAACACCCACACACGTTTAAATAAACACTTTTTTTTAAATAAAATATTTCGGAAGGTTTTTCTCATCTCCTAGGTGGCCATACTGGTTTCTGCTTATTTCCGAGTTGGAACAGTACTTCCTTTTCTCTCCACTGAGGTAAACAGGCATTTTGGAATTTTGGAGAGTCGTTACGAAGGCCCACAGGCTCAAATCGCCCTGGGAGGATGCAATCCTGTTTTCATCCCAACATAACGTCTTCCCGTACACCAACAAAAATTATGAAATAACCCAAATTTTAAAGGCGCCTAATGTGTAATCATGCCAGGAAAAACTGGCTCACCCTGGCAGCTCACGCTAGCAACTGCTTAGCTTCCTTAATAAATCAGAGCGTCCTTGGAATTGAAGATCCGTTGCTTGCCCGGCCAAGGCCGATTCAGCTGTAATTCATTTAATATCCTCCTGTACCGTCTTGTCGCCATTAGATCCATTCTATTGTCTCCATTTTCCAGTGGACGAGATTGACTTTCAGTCTTGCCCTACGCACTCCTAAGGGGTGGACCTAAAGTAGGCAGTCCCCAGCCTCTGCCACCGCAGGCTCAGAGGCCGTTTATCGTATTTGACTCAGGGTGGAAGGTCGGGGCGGCGGTGGGGGTCACAGAGTCCACGGACTACAGCAGGGCTCTGAAAGCAGGGAGGGGAGGGGAGCGAAGCGGCGGCCGGGCGCCCTTTACTTAGGGAGAGGTAGAGAAAGTCGATGGAAGGAAGACCCTTACTTGGTCTGACAAAGACGAGGAAGCTGGTAAGCTGGCTCAACAACTCCATGATCTGATGTTTTTCTAAATACTCCTTGGCTTGAAGCTCCCGGCTACCCCGAGCCTTCTTGTTGCTTGGCTGAGCCATTGCTAGGCGACCAGGCAGCGTCTGGGCGGTTTGACTCCGCCCCTTCGCGGTGAGTCACGTGACACACCTCACGCCTTCTTCCACGTCCCTACCCGGTTCCTCCTCTCTCTTTCTCTCTCTCCCTCCCTCCCACCCCGGGGCAACGCCCTTCCAGGATCCTCCTTGGGGCAGGCGCGTGGGTGTGGCGGGCAGCCTGGGAGGACACGCACGCTTGTGGTGCCGTGTTCACCCTTTCACCGACTGAGGCCGGGCCTGTCTGTCCGGGTCCCCCTTCCTGTACCTGTTTGTCCGAGGAGGAGAAGGAGGCTTTAAGTGATAGGAACACGGGGATTCACCAACAGCAAAAGAACGGTTGCACCTGAGAGGCGTAAATAACGCTTTCCCGGTGAGCGGCCTGCAGCGATGCTCCGGCAGGTCTCAGGTTATGGATCCTGAGCTTGGGATGTTTTCTGCTGAACTATATACATCATCAGGGTCCCTTAAACTTTCTCCGCTTTCAACACTTCTGTGTGAGCCTGGTGTATAGGTATATAAGATAGATACATAAATTCTGAATGTACTGTTAGAAAGAAATTAATCTTAAAACAGTTTTTTGAAGGCACGCGTGTATACCCAGCACTTGTGGGTGGAGGATTAGGGGCTCAGTGTCGTCCTTGGCTACATAGGGAGGTCAAAGCCAGCCTGGGATACATAATCCTTGCCTTAGAAAACCAAAACAAACTACGTCAAAACAAAACATTTTTCTTTTCGTTAACAATGAAAGCGAATTTGCGTAGGTACTTGCTTGTTTTGATGTAGGGAATTAAATGTCAGCTGAATACTTGATACTGCAAGATGCAGAGCATCTTCTACGTTTTTTCAGAGTTGGCTGGTATTTTGATTTTATAATTGTCAAAGCTGAGAATGCTACTTCACAGAGGTATGTAATACAAAATGGCTGGGGGATGTTTAAGGCCATTCCAGTAATTCCTGGAAACTCTCTCTTTTCCACAAGACAGAAATTCATTTTTCTGATTTTACTTTTTTATTCTTTTTATGAAATTCAAGGCGGCAAAATCAAACATTTGGGACTGGGACCTAGCTCAACAGAATAGACCCTGACTAGCATATGAAGACAGGAGGCTAGCTCCCCAGCACTGGTAAACACCACCACTCCGAAATAACTAAACGAACAAAACCAGAAGGTCCTATTTAAAAGGGCTGGGCTTTTAGCTCAGTCTCTGAGCCCTGGTCCAGATTTTACCCCAGCAAAACCAAACAAAACATAAACTCATAATTTATAGCATCATGTAGAAGTGAACCCCTGAAACCCCAGCCCTGGAAGACCAGAGGCAGATCAGTAAAATAAATAAGTGAACGAAGAAATTAATTAACACTTTGAATACAGGCTAATACAAAGATATGGTATGCTTTTGAGTGACAGTAGGAAAACATTAAAAGTCTTCGTTCTCATTTTATTTCAGCACAAGAAGAAAATGTGTGTATACAGTAAAAACACTGCAATTCGTTACATACTATCTCCTCAAATCTGAGCTTGGGTGGCATTTGCTGGCCCTTTATGATACGACACACTGGCAGTCCGGAGTGTGCCTGTTGTGTGTTCAGAACCAAGGTTGCAGGGAAGCCCATGACACTGCACTGCCAGAAACACCTTGGATTCATTTTGTGTTTGATTTTGAAGTTTTCAGCTGCTGCAGGCTTAGAAATTTTAATGCAGCCAAATGCTTTGAGATCTCTGAGCTCAGGATCCACAGAGGAGGAGGAACTGTGACCTGGACTCCCTGAAGACTGCTAGCAGGAGACAGAGAACACCTTACAGTCACTTTTTAAAAAGTCATTTATGTCCTGTGTGTTTCATTATTACCTATTCACCCAACTCCAGCTTCCCTGCAGCACCCACATCCTGGACACCTCTGGCTTCCAGGCTCCTGGACTAGCCTGGCGCTGGACCGGTTCCCTTGAGGCACACAAGCGGCCAGCCTTCCTCCCTCCCCACACCCTTACCCGCACAGACCCTCACCTCCCACCCCACCCACTTCCACCTGAGGAGCTCCAATAGCCAGCCCCACCCCAGACTTCCCTGGCCTCTAACAGCAGTTCCGAGTCCCAAAGAGGGAGAGTTGCCAGTCCCCACCCTACAAGGAAAAAAAAAAAAAATCCCACCAATCCCTGAGTTTGCCCCAGATCAGGAGGCACCTCGGGGATCTCTAATCCCAGGCCACCCTGGAAAGCTCCGCCTCCCTCCAAGAAACCACATATATAAACCCCCGTGTTCTGCTCAGTTCTCTGCTGCTTCTCCACCAAGTAGAGGCAGCCACCCTCCTGGGTGTTCCCCTCCCAGAAGTCTGTTGTGCAGTATGACTTTGCGGTATTCTTTGGCTGCCTCGCTGTCAGGATACCTTTCCCTTGAGTTGGGGAAACCTCCCCTACTCCCCGACCTGCCAGAGCAGAGTTGTAATAATTCCATACTTTCCCCTCAGAGCTGTAACTCTCACATTGGCGACTCCCATAGGCTCTCCCAGCGGGTGCTTGCACTCCCCTGGGGGTCTGAGCTGCACTGGGACCCTATCCCTCATCTCCAGTCTACCTGCAACAGACTCACCTCTGGCTCACTGATCATTCAGCCCCTCATCCACCGGTGGCAATTAGTTAAGTTTCCCCTTCAGTTGGTGTGAATGCTTCACATTCAAGGAAGTGACAGCTGAGTGTCCAGCACCCCTCTGGTACTCTTGGTGGCTGAGGTATCCACAGCCACCGTCTTTAAAGCTATCAGCTGACCCTTTCACCTGACCGCATCTCCTGACCCTTTGTGCTGCAATCCAGCAGTTTCCTGAGGCCCAACAAGGCCATAGCATGACACATATGTAACTGATGGGCAGCTTGGTCTTCATGTGGGTTCCCTAACAAGGGGAGCATGGCTCGTATCTGACATGGACTCAAGTTGCCTGCTTTTGGATCACGTTCCCCTCGCTGGGCTTCCTTCTCTGGCCTCAGTAGAAGAGGATGTACTAAGTCCTGATGCAATTCAGTGGGCTGGAGTGGGTCCTTTTTTCTGAAAAGGGGTGGGGCATGGGGGAGGGACTGGGAGGAGAGGAGTGAGAGGCATATGATGGGGGTGTAAAATGAAAAAAAATGACTAAATTCATATTAAAAAGATGAGAGGATTGATGTAACAAACCACCAAGCAGCTGCTCACAGGATGCCCTGTGCACGGCCTCAAATGCCCTATCACTCTGGCATCTCTGTCAGTAGAAATGACAACATCAAATGATCAAGTCCAGACTCTGAGGATTGAGTTAACAGATGTGAAAGAGACATATCATGAAAATGTTACACTTACTAAAAGCATAAGCAGTGAGCCTTTCAGTTGTTATAAAAACAAAATAGAATTTCAAAAGTCGAAAGAAAATAAAACTTTTACAGTTAAGAGAAATGTATAAATATTCATGTTGTTACTAAGTGTTTCTGCTCTTAAGCAGTACAACAAATGCCTTGCGGGATAAAGATACAAACCAGGGCCTCCCTTGCTGCACACCTTTGGCTTCTAACGCTCGTGCGAGAACCGAAAAGCAGCCTGCAGTTGGTTGGCGAGGAAAGGCGGCGGATGGCACAAGAAGAGTCCTGCCAAGATGCCGATCAGTGCGCTGGTTAAAGTCTTGCACGTGGCTGAGGGCCACATAGTAACATGTGAGACCAGCCCTGGTGAGGTGTGCCGAGGGAAGCTCATTGAAGCAGAGGACAACATGAACTGCCAGCTGTCCAGCTCTGCGCTCACGTACAGAGATGGCCCAGCTGGAACAGGTGTACATACGTGGCACCAATCGCTGATACTGCCTGGCATGTTGAAAAATGCATCCATGTTAAAGAGCATGAAAAATAAAGAGCAAGGCTCAGGGGCCGGCTGAGAAAAAGCTGCTATCTGGAAGGTCCAAGTGGCTGCAAGAGGAAGAGGATGTGGAATGGGGCATGGAAACATCTTCCAGAAGCGGAGATAATTTTCTCTGTTAAAGGAAGCTTTGTTCTTTTTGCTCTTAGGTTATGGCAGGGTTTTTTTTTTGGTGGGGGGATTACATGTGTGTATGTCCTAGGCTTTCTTTTGATATTTCTCTTTGTATCAGAGAGACTTAAGCTAAATAAAATACGGTTGTTTTGTGGTTCGAAAAAAAATGAACCAGGAAAACAAAAAGAAGCTGGTTCTGGAGTTGGGGTATGGCTCCCCTCCTCCAGCTCCATGCATGCTGTTTAAAGGTTTCTTCCAAAATCTCTGTCCTGTATCAGGAGAGCCACCTGACTATGTGACAGAGAAAGGAGGACAAAACCAAATAAAGGGACAAAATATTCCCAATGGGGACTATTGCTACACACCTCATGCTCTTTTAGTTTTTATTGCTACTCACCTCATGCTCTTTTAGTTTTGGGTTGATGCTCTAAAACTTTTGCTAAGGTTTAAATCTTACCTCAAGATTTGCAAAAGTATCATGTAAACTTTCTGTATCTCAAGATTTGTAAGCACACTGGGTATGATTAAAACTTTGTAAAATCTGTAACAAAAGCTTAGCTTAAAACTCATAAAACCAGGCTTGATAGTTAAAAATCTATACATAGGTAATCCTTTTTTTAAAGATTTATTTATTTATTATGTATGCAGTATTCTGTCCTCCTGTACACCTGCACACCAGAAGAGGGCACCAGATCGCATTATAGATGATTGTGAACCACCATGTGCGTGCTGAGAATTGAACTCAGGACCCCTGGAAGAGCAGACAGTGCTCTTAACCTCTGAGCCATCTCTCCAGCCCTACATAGGTAATCTTTAAGGAAATGTGAGGCATGCTGCCATCTTAGCTGTTGTCCCCGTAGGGATGGAGGCAGCCACGTGGCTAACAGCCATCTTTGCTAGTGTTGGAAAGAATGGACTTTGCCATGTGCCCTCTCTCCCACATGACATAATCCAAACAAGGAAGAAACAATTTCTCCTAGCTGTTAGGTCCCAACCAGATGATTCCTCTACCGTTTCAGTCATGCTT